GTTCATGGCAACACAGCTGTATCAAATTACCAGAGAATATGAAAACGTGATCTCAAAATGAGAAGTACATCACCCGTTTTGAGATTCTTTAAGAGAATCTTGCACAATGTAAAATCAACAGAAGCCCTCAATATTCTGACCCACATATAAAGTTCATTTAAGCTTGTTATTCATAAACAAAAAGCTCAGTGAGCTCTTTCTCAGGCATACTAAAAAGAATTACTGAAGACTGGCCTGAAGACCATGTTGTGTGATTTGTCCATGTTTGTTTGAAGTTCTCCTGGGTTTCAGCCATCATTAGAACAATTCCTTTTTTTTTTTTGTACTTCATTTAAGAGCCTTAAAGGACACACTGGCCTCTTGCATCGGTGTCTTGCTCCAACCAGGCCCTTTGCTTTGGAGACAGCAGCTCAGTGTGGCCAAATTTTTAAACAGGAAATATTGAACTGTACGACACCCAGTTGAATACGGGTGTTCTTTCATTTGATCTTAAAATCAAATGCCAGAGAGTCAGAGAGGAAGGCACAGCTGGACGAGGCTGACTCACCCAGCACACTCTGCAATGCCTTGATCACCTGGCCCACAATGCCCCTTGCCAGCGACAACTCCAACAGAATCTTAATCCCCTCCATGTCCAAGGTGCCATCAGAATTCCTGCAAACCGCAAAGCATACACGTCGGTTGAAAACATTGATCTAATTCCCCTAACATCATTGGTGAACCCTTCTGATTCTTGCAGAATGCAGGATTCCTTATTGTCCATCACATCATTAAACACACTTCAGACAATAAAATGCTATGCTTTAGTATGTCTACATCACACGGCAAAAAAGGAAAACAGAGTTTAACCTTAACTACCCCAAACCTGCCATACTCCAACAGCAGGTCTTGTGAGGTTTGGGCAGGTTTGGTACCGTGCCTGATGAACTTCTTGTTGAATTTTGTGAGACTTGGGATGAAAGGCCCAGGGAGATGGTGTTGGATTCTGTGTGAGTTGGACACACAGGATTCATTGTGTGCAGTGTCTGGCTTGCTGTACCAATTGTTGGACTATGCTTGATTTTGTCAGGTTTGGTACTGTTCAGTGCAAGTCATCCTATACTGCATGGACCCATCCATACCACATCACTCAAACTCCAACAGGCTCATTCTGTTGGAGTTTATCAGGTTTGGTACAGTGACCTGCATGTACAAGTACATAGATAGGTACATGACCCTGTTGGATTTTGTGAGGTTCAGTACAGGAGCCTAGCAGGTTAGGGTTAAGCATCAGACAGGAACAGGTAGGATCTATAATAATAATTAATAATTTATTCATTTATAAAGTGCAAATTTCATATAGATATATTCAAATGCGCTGTAAAATGAAGACATCAAGCGTGGAACAATGAATACATTTAAACATGGTTGAGCCGATGGCATACAAGGGCGCCTCGGGCAGCCGCCAAACGACCCACGTTCGCCAACATTAAAAGAGGAGACAATAAGAAGCAGTTACAGTTTTAGTTACAGGAAGAGCATTTATAAACGTAAGATTTCAATTACTGCACCTTAATGATGTATCAAGCAATGCTCACACGAAATATTTATAATTCTTTTATGCATTTTGCTGAACGAAATCACACTATGAGCCAGACACCTCACCTTGCAATGGATGTGAGGAATTCCTCAGCCTGATTCAAAACCAGTGGGCTGGGGAAGGGATTCCGGCCAAGTCTAGCGGGGGCCAGAGACAAGGGTGGCATGTGGGATAATGCAGTCCTGGGGGGACAGAGAAAGGACAAAAGAGAAAATATGCAAGACATTTAATATATGAATTGTGTTCTTCACCCTCCCACCTTTGGTGACAATGCCCAGTAAACCCCGCCCACTGTACACATGAGCAAGTAACCCTAAAAAAAGCTGGGGGTGGGAGGCAGAATCTGTCCACCCCTCAACATTGATACCGATATCACTGCCCTGCTTTTTTGTTTCCAGTTTCCAGTAACTCCGGCAGAGATTTTGATACAACTTTGGTGAAAATTGTTTATAACGTTCTCGTACAACACCCATCTTTTCCAAAAGGTCAGCCAAAATGAATGCTTTTTCCACTACCGTGCTCAATGCATACAGGGTTGGCACAAGTGCAGCATTGAACTTCAGCAGCCCGTAACTACAAACCATATGTGGCACTAAGTTGTACTTCACATTTGTACTGATGAGTGTTTCTATATACATGCCAAGTTTTTAAAAACTGGACATTGGACAGCTGAGTTCCAGGGGGGGGGCAGAATCCCCTGGCTGTAAGACAGTCCAAAATGGCCTGGCTCTTTTAGGGCTGATACGCGCTTCGCTCTGATCCCTCACTGCATGTTGCACCTGTGAGCATAACATGCACAGGTGCATGCATGTCGGACGAAATCACAGCTGTAATTAAAAGACCATGGGTTGGGCCATATGGACTAGTTCATTGTCAAATTGTTCAATAAACCATAAATTTGGTTTATACAAATTCTTCTAGAACCAGTTCTGTAACACATGTAAATTTGTAAAGATCACATTCCCCAAACCAAGTTTGAAAAAGCTTCATACAATCTAATTTAAAAAGGAAAACAAACCAAAACTAGAGTTACATGTAAAATAACATTGTACAAAACATAAATGTTCACATTACTTCAAAAATCAGATTTCATAATTAAAATCATTTTAATTTTTCAATAATTCAAAAATGTGAAATACTACTACTACAAAATATTTTTTTCTGCATGCAACATGAATGGAGCAAAAAAAAATGGTACTCTGAAAAGCGCAAAAACAGCTTACCTTGTGTGTTTAAGGATCATCTGTTTCAGTTGTGGGTTTGTTGCCATGGCAACTGTTGAGGTGGAGGCAACAATATTGAAATACCAAATGATGGAAGCATCTTGGACAGAAACCTCGGAGTCTGGAATCAACCTATTGCAGTAAAAAATGAGAGTAAAAACTGTAGGCTATCACTCAGGAGAGGCTGAGCATTAAAGTCGAGGTGATTATGTGCAAACAAAATCAAAAATTAACAAAATTGTTGGGAAATATCTAGGCCCAATGACCGCAATGACGCAAAATCATTATGACGAGGCCATTATATCAAATGTTGCAAATATTAGTCCTCAAAGTTTCAGCCCGTTAAACAGGCCCAGGATAAAAAATACAACTGGAAATTTCCCTTACTTTCTTCAAACTGCAGCATTTTATTAATAAAGGCTGATGATAAAAGTTTGACAAGGAGCTGACGTAAGTATAAAAAATCTTAATAACACAAAACACAACTCATTTTGAAGGAAAAGAAGTATTGTATTGTCTACTGTCTGTGCAACTTGATATGAACCAAACAAAAATGGAACTTTCTGTATTTTTAAATAAAATCTGTTTTCATTTACAAAAGGTCACTGAGCTACCCATTTTAAGCACTTTGTTTTTATTGGTTGGTTCAATCAATTTCTCACCTATATCCCGCTGTCTTGACACCATGAATTCTGACATCACAGCCATCACTATGGCAACGGACGATGTTGATCTGTACATAAGGGCCTGTAACATGGGCATTGTCAAGCAGAGTCACATCTCCCGTCAAACTGCTGAAAAAAGTAACAAAACAGAATGTGAAGATTAAGAGTAGAAAAGTGTCACTTAGAAAAACATATTGGTCACACTTTATCCATCACTCGGTTAAATAAGGGTCAAAAGAGACGTATTCTGGCAAATCTACACAACTAGCCAGCTCTTTATAGATAAATATGAAACAGAACTATTCCAATTGAACAAAAGCAATTTCTGCAGAATATTAAACTGAAATAATGTTGAACAGCCTAATTTTTCTTTATTCAAGGGCAACCCGAATGGCTTTAAAATTCTAAGAAGTTCCCATGTCCATAAATAGTGTTTAACACTTACAATACATGTACGTAGTTTACACTTGCTTTTCACAGTACTGTATGTTCCGAGTTCATGAAATTGTGACAAAATTTCCACAAGTCAACCATTGCTGTAGTCAAGAACTTTCTAAACAAGATAACTGAAAACTTGACAAGTATTCAGCCAGGCCTTTATCTCCTCAAAACTATCTTTACACAGCTGTGATCTGAAATCTCAAACCACAATTCAAAAAACTTACATTTATTTTGCAACCTTTTCTTTTTGCACTTAACCACTTCAATATTCAGCAGCCATGTTGGTGCTCAAAAAGTACTCGACCAACAAGCTAACCAGGCCTTGACATTAACGGTTGTCCAACTGCCCGAAACAATTAATTTCCTCTTTCGGACAAGTGAAAATTAAGGACAAATTGCCCGATGGACAGGTACTTTTTTCTTGAAAAGAAAGTGTCTGTTTTTCGTGGCCAACAGCAGTCAGCAAATTAACCTTTGATCGGGCTACTTGCTCAATGGACAAGTATTTAAAAAAATTAATGTTGAGGCATGAAGCTAAATTCCAAATACTGAACTGGTTAGGTGTGAATAAAGCTTGCAAACATGGACGTTTGACGGTCAATGCAAAGAGGAAAGGCTGAGGCTGCTTGGGTGGATTTGAACCCTGAACCCCTTGCTTCTGAGTATGAATGGAACGACTTTGGTGCATTTCAACCAAGGTATAGAACAAAAATAATGAAGTCCACTTGGTGGATCTGAACTTCTTCCAAGTGCTGATGCCAAAATTCTCAAGCATTTCCACCAAAGCTGAACTGACCTAGGGATGGAGACTTCTCGGATGGTGTGCAGGGAGTTGGGGCTTCGGCCGGTCAGCACCACAACCTCCTGGGGCATGTAGCTCTGGTCAGACTGGGCCACCTTGATAGACAGCTGCTGCAGGCAAACGTCATCTTTCAGCCGCAAGCGAATCCAGTGGGAGCGAGCATGGCCGTTGGACTGCCAGTAGGTGCTTGGATCATTGTCTTCAAGCCTGCACATAAAACATCACTGGCAGTTAGTGATAGGACTGTGGTTAGAGTCCATCACATGTCACGTTGCAAGTCTTTTTTGCAAGCCTGGCCACAGGACCGGTCACAAGAAAAAGGGTGACCAGAAACAAAGGAATGCTTTCATCACAATTCATGTGAACAGCCTTGACTTGGCTTAAGACTGCATGACTAGTGATGGACTTGCAGGGACTTCTGTAGTTCAACAATGATTGTTTGAGTGATGGATCTGCTACACAAATCAGGCTCTCCGTTCTAAATATCCAGAGCAAAATGGACCAAGAGAAGGCACAATTTTGATAGCAATACAAGCTCCTTTGGTAGGAACAGTCCTTCCCTGGTTCACAAACGACTATGACTATGAAGTGCATGCGTTACGGTCCCTTCACTACCAAGACAATGAGCACTACCGACCAACATGGTTCTTTTCAATTGATGAGGGAGTGCTTCTGCTCGAGGTGGCCAGCACTGAAAACAGGTAAGCTGGTGACATGGAGATCTGCTTGCAAAACAAAATTTCTAGTTAAGAAATGACCAGCTGACATTTTTCTTACCAGTGTACTGAACTGTGAGTGGACACCATGCAAATCTATTTCCAACACATGTTCACAATTGATTTCCCGTAATTCCCACTAGGTTTTACAATGGTGAGTTGATTTGTGGATTGTTTTTATATAAAGCATGCTTATAGTCCTTACAGTTGGGCTCCATTGTGGGAGGTGGACACACGGATCCACTTGTAACACTTGTTGACAGCCTTGATGCTACCCCCTTCGTCCTGTATCATCTCCTTCAAAGCTGAGGACACAACCACGCAAGAATAAATAGTTCTGTGAGAACAGGCACTGAAGCAGAGGACATCACATCATATACAAATCCCCAAAGATCCAGCAACACCCAAGTGCTCATTTTCAACAGATATTTTGTTTTTCAACAAACAGCATTATTTGAAAGCAATTTATTTCCACATACATGCATGCCCTTTGTATTGAAACATCATGTGTATCCTTAGAGTCCCTCTCATAATGCACACCTGGAAAACATTCCAAAGATGTGCCTCTAAGATTGTTAGACGCAGACTTGATGTCTTTCCTGTGACTTCATAAAATCATATTGATATCAAAGGATTTGGGACTGTTTTGGGCTATCATATTGCTGGCCTAAGGGAATAGGGTTAATCTAGAGTATGCGAACAGGATTTTCACAGGGAACATTACATCTCAATTTATGAAAGTCCAATTATTGTTAATTTTTTGGACTTCTGCCCTGCCCGACGTGTATTATAACACTGTGTACTCAGTGTTTGCCCTCGAAGGCTTGTGAAAATCCCACAAGCGTACTCAGGTGGGACTCGAACCCCAAACTTCCCGCAGCAGCACTTTCAGGGCAGTTGCATCTTCCTTACCTGTTTCTTTCTGTTTCTGGCTGAGAAATTTCTTGAGTACTAGCAGCCTCATCGAAGTGATGTTACTGAAACTGTCTAAGAAGAAGAACGGCAAGCTGGTGCTCGGTGCCCGATTCCTCACAATGTACTGTGCAGAGAGAGGGAACTAGTTTTACCAAGCTGCTTGAAGCATTCTTACCTTGGCATGACATGCATCTCCTGTCTCAGGCAAAAAGTTGTTGTGTGGCAATATTTTGGGTTTTATTATTTCATTTATTTAACGTTTATCAAATTAACCCCTTCTGACTTTGGCACATAATTGGAAAATTCCCAATTCCATAAAAATCTTTCAACATGTGGTAATGCAGTTAAGTCACACTTCTGCATCATGTCAAAATTTGGGTACTGCTTAAATTGACAATGACTAGGCAGTTACGTATCCATAAAAATGAAATCGAGAGTCAGATATAAGTGGATCTGGGTTGGATGAAGTAAAAACAGACATTCCATGTTGCTATTTGTTGATACAAAAAATTGTTGAGAATCAATGCTTAAAAATAATCTGGGACTCTGGATACAGGTAGGTACATAAACATAATTCATTTGCCATGTTAAATAGGAGAGTGAATAAAGTATCAGTGGAAAAATCCAAATGCCTACTTTGATTAGCCTCTTTCCGTGGTGACCTATGCCCTCTCTGTTCGTAGAATAGACATCCACTAGTCCTGTCAAAATGGGCCAAAAAACACAGACCTCTCAGGTATCGCTACAGTGCAAGGCCTTATTGATGTAATGATTTGTTCATATATGTAGAAAGCGACTCAAAATTTGTGGTTTGTGGTACATTTATCAGGGTTCATATACCCTTGTGAAAAAATATTCCAGGACTTTCCAGGATTTTTCAGGTCAAAAGTTTGATTTTTCAAAGCCTTAATTCAGGTTGGACACTCAATACATCAGTACAATACAATATAGTAACACAATACAATGTAGCAAGTGCATACCTACCTGTACATGAAATAACTATTAATTTTTCTGACAGTGACAACCTGACCTCGAGGTAGGCCTACACACAGCTTGCAATCATAAAAAGTAAACATCCCCTAGTCAACGTTAAGTAAAAAGGTTTGACCCAGTTTTCCTTTTACACTGAACTTTATTAGTTTATAATGACTGGAAATATTGAATTATGTATTAAATAAAGTACATAAATTTAATAGAAAATGATTTAATAATTATATCCACAACAGATGTTTCACCATGGAATGACAAAAAAAACGAAGGTAAAATTTGACTAAAAGAAAGTTTAGCAATGGTGCCCCGCGCATGCAGAATAGAAAGAATCACGTTGTGGGCACCATCCAAAATTGATTTTGCTCATAGCGCTGCGTGCAGCGCGGGTGTGTTTTCAAGCAAGTAGACCACGCACGGTGAACAATGTACAACTGTACTGCGCTACATAAATAGTGACAATGTGAATACATGCATGTGTCTACAGCACCATGCAACATTGCTGCAATGTCTTGTGTTTCCCTGTTGTGTTCTGTTGGTTTTTTCATACTGTCAGACTACAGAAACGTGTGCTTTCTGGTACAAAAGACTGGCCTCCTATACTTTTCCAAACTTTTCCGGGCTTACCTGGGGTAAGGCTACAAGTCTGTAGTGTGCGCACAACGTAGGACAGCTCTCCTGAAAAGTTGGCTCCATTGGATGACTTGAAGGTTTCCAACATGCTGGTCACATCGGCACAGCCCTCACCATCCACATCAAATTGATCAAATGCCTGAGGAAGAGCCATAGCCAAATCACACTACCATTGAATCTCTTGACAAATCGGACTCATAGCGATACTCTGAGTGAAGTTATTTTCTAAAAGGCAAGAACTGTCACTGAACCTCCATTCTCATTTGTAAATAAGCCAAAAATTACCTAGACAGAATTCCCCTATGCATGTTCTTCAGCATCAACGCAATGCTTTTTTTTAAAAAATGTGCTGAGTCTTTATAAGTTTTCCATTGATGTCTTGCAGCTACAGACTTTGTGATACCAAATTTATGAAAATCACACATACTGTTGTTCCAAGATGCTAACTGGTATGCCAACTAGGTTAACTTTCCTCAAGGCATGTGTTCAATGCAGAGACTGGCATGCATGTGGGGGGTGAAGTGCAAATTGACCACAACAAAATCCTAGATCACACTGAATGAAAACTGCACAAATTTACTCGTAAAAAATGTCTTTCTTTGTGAGCCAAATTGCAAAAAAAATAATTTACAAGACAGCCCAATTCCAAATTATGAAAGAACACTCAAAATAGGCTCTTTTTTATTTTATGGTACTTCACTGTCTATCCAAAATCATCTGTGGTGATCTGCCATGTTTAAACAGGAAATTGTTTTATTTGATGGAAAATTATTTGGACTACTTTCGACCAAATAAATGGCAAAGCATACTTCTACACATTCGTCTCGTCCAACACCTCTTGCCATCAGAAATTCACAGAACTGTGACAAGGAAACAGTCTCCTGAAAAAAAGAAGAAACCAACACATACACAAATGACAGTACATCCATATTACACAATGGTGGATCCAGCATTTACAACAAAAATGAAAGAGGGTGGCCAAAGTGGAGGTGAGACGGAAGATAAGTGGGGAGGACTTTTAGTGAGAATTCTCTTTTCTAAGTTATAATATAATGTTAAGGTGAACGAAAATGTAGAAAAACAGGAAAGTGTTCATCCCCCATTGGAGCCACTACTGTTACAAATCTTATCAAGTTCCTGAGCAGAAATTGTTGCTGGGCAAATTTCTTTGATGAACAGAAATCAGGGGCAAGCCAGTCAAAAGAGATATACACATAAAAAGGAACAATTTTTGATTTTTTTAGTGAATGTGCTCTTAAGGTTATTGTATTTCTAACTTAATTAATTGTCCTTATGATGCGATTTTACGGTTAATTTACCGTAGTATTTACACATAGTTTTTTTAATTGAAGTGACTATTATGATGAACACTTTTATGGTTGTAGTGTTTTATTTGCAATTTGACTGTCAACATGATGTAAACTAATTCATTTGGCTCATGAGTGAAATAATAACACACTATTTTGTATGAAATGTCTGATAACGCAGTTTTGCTGACCATTTTCTTTGCAAAGCAGATTCTTGTGCTTGGTAGCTCGATGAAATGGGCCTCTGTTCTTCAGTCTCATTCAGGAACTCACCTCATGATGTTGGTCTTTCTCCTCCAGCCATCTCAGTAAGTGACTGTGATGTTTTTGAAGCATCGTCTCTGGAATGTAATCCCTGTCGACAAAGTTAGAAACAGTTAAAATAGTAATGACACAGCATTTACATAGCATGAAATGAATCACAGTAATCACCGATTAACAAATCATCCTTGTCAAATCTTTAACAGCAATACCATTAAAACTAACTTGGAAATTTTAAACATTGACAAGATATTATCTATAATTAATAATTGAGTATAGACAAACATATACATGAAACAGTCTTTCTTCCAAAGAAATGATATGATTAAACACCATCCCTGCTAATCAACTCCAGACTCTCATCAAGTATTTTTTCTCCAAGTATTTGATTAGCTTCACAATTTACTGTTACAAGATCTTTCCAGGATGGTTACAGAAGATAGTCCGATGCCCAATGCTTTCCTGCTGTCATTTGCCAGAGCTGGAATAGGTCCAAGTGAATTAGGAATAGACAAATCTGCTACTCGCTTGTTTGCATGAGGCATGCCTTTGGTCTACGGTACATGCCAATGAATGGTGTAACACTTCCTCTGCAACCAAAGAGGAAGTTTTTCATTTACAGAACGCCTGTAATTAGGCACATGCACAGTCATTTGCAAAAATTTAGGTACACCATTATATAATGCATTAACCTCAAGATTAAACTAAACTAAAAATGGGTCATTAGGGAGACATTCCCATAAGAACGTGCACAAAATTTTTCCAACTGTACTGTCCCATAATTCAATATTCCCTAATCTGATCTTAACCAAACTTTGCCTGTTTTCATTTCAGACCCTAATCTATCATCTCTAAAAATCTGGACGGTAAAATTTGGCCTCCTCCTGGTAGTTGGAGCATTAGGCATTGAAATGTCTCCCTAATGACCAATGTCTCCCTAAGGTTGAGAAATTTACCACACAGTGTCTCCCAAATGACGTATTAGTGATACTATAGGACTACACTGATGTTATGCACCACTGTAAAAACATGTTAAGTAATCATTTGATGAGACCATGTAATACAGGCAGAGTGACAGAAATGCCAATAAAATTCCAGGTGGTCTTAAACTTTTGCAAATGACTCTACATATATAAAGTGTGACCATGGTCTCACCTGCCCAATTCTTTGCCCAGAAGCCCCTTCAAATATACCCACTGACAGTCAAATTTTAGATCTTTAAACCCTTTTGAAAGAAAAGTTTAAGGCCTGCTTTGTTACATGCACAAGAAAATTCCACATGTGGGATAAGAATCATACTTGACTTTGGATGCTGCCTCTCGTAAACTTGAATGATGAAACAACTGTGACAGGTCAAAGTCTGCATTGTCTCCTCCATCTGAGTCTATGAATATGCAAACAATGTACAAATATTCATGATGTGTCAGTTTTGATTACAGAACGTTGGAAGCAGAAACTTGCTTCAAACCATCAATTCTACTGCAATGTAACAATACAACAAATCAAGTAAACTAAAACTCAACAAAGAAAGGTTGCCAATACTAAATCTACAAATGTAGTTTTTGTGAGAAATGTGAATGGAAAATTTATCAGAAGGGAAATTTCTTGATCACTTGGCTAAGTTTAGCATTCTTGATATAATCTAAACAAAATTTTTACATTGAAAGCAGATTAAAAAATTGGTTCTCATCTTTGAGAAAAGTTGGTTTCATGTTTTCATTTTTTTTCCATAAGATCAATTTCCAGCTTGGAAGATAGATTTTGAGGACTTTGTTATTCAGAAACGTTTGGATGTCAGTGTTGGAAATAAGAAAATAAAATCGATTACAGTTTGCAAGTCATTTTGTTATTTGATTAGCATTATGATGAAATTGACTAGCAAAAAATAAATGGACCTAATTCAGTACCATTACATGTATACATATACCATGGTGTATAGACTGATTCCCCTCATGAAAGCATCCGAAAAATTTTGAACGGCTTTGATTTTGGCCTCTTGCAATCTACATAACTCACAGTAGAAGACAGTGTCTTCCAACTAATTCTCTTGTTTCAGCCAATTTCTACCTCTCTCTGCCATTTATCAACAGTACATTTGAACGATGCTTTCGGCATTTTTATTGCGTATTGATCACCACGAAATGACAGAAGTTAAACACATGCTTATGTATCGCGCCTGGGGTGTATGTACCTACGTGTAGTTCATGGCACCATTTCTCACGCATGGAATGCATATGTGTGCGTGCACGTACCGTACTGTACCGAACTACATGTGTTACATGTATATAATCCCGCCAAATCACAGTAACCTCGTTTCCGCCACGATCTGTGGGCCTCTTGATACATGAAACTAGGACAAGAAACTGGGGGTGAGTTTGTTTCGTCAAACATTTCATTTTTGCTGTAAAGCTGAGCGAGCTCTCTGCGTGCATGCGGAAGTGCACAGTGCCTGGCAGGGATGTGTTGTGTAGCCGTTGCTATGCATGATCTTAAAAGAAATTTCCATTCATAAAAACTGCACATCAGTTTCATGTTTGTCTTGCTTTTCGCGCAAAATGTATCGCATTATGCGATGTGACTCCAGCTGTTTCCATCACTGGATGAGCATTAAAAGGAGCTTTCACTAAATTAATTGATATAATGTTTTAGACACATGCTTCAAATTTAATCCCAAAAGAGGAAAACTAGAAAAAAAAAAGGAACACAGAAGCAAGCAGGTACAAGAATCTTCGTAATTTTTTTACTCAGCCAAGGCGTTTGATTTCTTTGATAAATGTCTGCATATTCACCTGGACTGGATGAGGTGACCCTCTGCCCTTCTCCATCACTCTGTAATCATTGTTAAAAAAGAACAAAAAATATTTAAATTTGGCATTACAAAATAATACTCCAATACATGTATTTCATACACAATACATTTTAAGAAAGTGGTGTTGATCTCATCTATGTACGTGTTTTCTGTGATCATGATTTTGAGGTTTGTAGTGCTCGTACCATGCCCGTACTTGAAGGGAGTGTGTTTCCACAAACTTTCCTGCCGCAGCATGAGGTTTATCGCTTGCCACTCTAGATGCATCACACGCGCTTACCATGTGATATGCGGACAGTTTCCCGTCGTGATTACCTGACTTGTGTTGTGCATAGTAGTGTGAATTGTACTTAATTCTTAAGAATTGTTGATTCTATATATTTTTACATTTCAAAGATACATTCTCAACACAGTTGTCCTATCAGTCAAAATCGGTCAAGTGAAATATGACATGTCTATGTACTGTACAGGGGAAGTGGAAGGAATTTTTTACTGTTATTGACGGTTACAGCAAAAGGAAGGTTAAGGCAAGTTATTATCACTTTTAATGGCAATTTTTGGCAGTTTTCATGTCCACAAAATAATTGACTAAAAAAAACAGAAAAAAAGAAATTCTGACCTACAGTACCAGTCCCATTTTTGAGAGGCAAGTAATCGGAAGCAGAGCTATTTCTTTTCTTGGCCATACAAAAGTAAAAATTGCCAATTGAGGGCTTAATGGCAATGTAAAATGCAAAATTTCTGATGCCATGAAAAAAGGCCCTGAAGAACATCAAGAATGGGCCATGAGTTAGATTACCAAGAACATGACCTTGAACAGTTTTTGCTTCTTTCCATTAAGACGCCTACAGAGCAGCGAAAGGAAAGAATTCCATATGCAAGTACATGTACGTACAACACTAGTTTTCCCTTAAAATGTTATAACAGCCATCAGAAAGTGATAACATTCCTAAAAAGTGAAACCTAGCTAAATTCCGAAGCATTTACTTAGAAAAACCAACAGACAAGGCTCATAGATTTGTGCACAGGGCCTTAAGTGTTGTCCGTATATGGAACTCTTTCCCAGCGATATTATTCTCCAAATATCTCGGTACCATGGGTACTTATGACATGAATGAGGCATGTGAAGGACAGAGAAAATGTGTCACCCAGGCCCAGCCATGCAAGCAGCAAATGCTTCCTTTGTCAAGTTTGTCATCATTGGTTAGCTCTATTAAGTGGAGCATTAGTATTCCTCTTTTTCCAAAGACTCACCAAAAATACCTTTCTCACCACCTACTGGCTTTCTTAAATGCCAAAAGAAAACTTTTGGGGCTTTAGTGATATTTCCGACTTCAAAACCGGTCAAAAAGTCCACCATTTTCATTCAACACATGCTGAACACTTAAACTTTTCGCCACCTCCTCCCATTCAAATACGCGTGCCTAGATTTTGCTGGTGCAAGACTCTATGGGCGATCATGGTCCTCTAAGTAACGAAACCCCTGGAGCAACCCATATGTAGTCGGGGCACAAGACGTATTGACCAGGAAACAGTCGTTGGTAGTACTCTCAACTATCACGATCAACAAATCTTGTGCCCAGATCACGTATATGCCACTCGTGTGTTTCCGAGAGGACCATGTTCGCGCATAGTTATTGCGGTCACAAAATCTCGGCCCGTATATTTGAATAGAGCAGGCGGCAAAAGTTCAAGTATCGTGTGTGTGTCTAGCGAAAACGGTCGGATTTTGACAGATTTTAATGTCGGAAATATCACTAAAGGCCCCAAAAGTTTTCCTTTGGCATTTAAGAAAGCCCGTAGGTGGTTAAGAAGGTATTTTTGGTGAGTCTTTGGAATTTTTGAGAACCGTTGTCACTTTACTATATATAATGACGTGGAGCGTTAGTATGACCGATCCTGTCCAAAATCGAAAAAGAGGAACAGGCCTAGTACTTTTAGGCACATGCTTCACTTCAGTACAGCTAATCATTGGTCATGTTTGTCATATGTCATGTATTTCTGTTAATGAAACAAGCGGTCAGAGAACTTATTGACCAAATGAGACGAAAAGTGAACAGATTTCGAAAAGTGAATTTGTTCGACGTTCAACCACTTTTTACCGTACACATGAGTCATGTGAGTGGGAGGCAGCCTCGGGGCACGGAGGCCTAGCGCCTGGAGGCAGTCCAGCCTGAGTAGGCCAAGTACCATTTCATTTACGTGCTGTGGGGCTGACCTAGTTCATGATTTCCTTACCACGTCAAAGCTACCGTCGTCATCGCTATCGCTGCTGCTGGTACTACTACTTGAGGCACTACCCATCATTACTCCTCCACAATTTTGTTGACGCTTTGGAGAAGAAATGGGTCAATTTTGGAACAGTTTAGTACCCAGTGCAGTGGTCTGGGTCACCCGGTTTCGTGCGGAAGTTGCAAGTCTTGTCACGGGATAGGTGAAAACACGGGCGCAGCCATGTATGCGGTGCTTTCAATTTATATCAGGGGGTACTCTATTATTTACTAAAAAAAATTTGCACCATTTTAAACACCAAATCACCATCTCTTTGGTACTTTAGGGGTCAAAACAATACCGCTCGTTTTCAGTCTGATGCACATCGTTCCACAGTAGAAAACTACATGTTTGTAGCCTTGGGTTTGTCACGTTATTTTTAACAGTCCCCCCCCCGAAAAGTCAACGAACCTGAACTCCTTACGAGATTCTTCGAATAAATGCGAGGTTTTGTGATATTAGTCTGGTTCTCAGGTACTTGGTACTCCCGGTGTGCGCATTTGCATCTACTTCAACTCTGATTCCTGACTCAAATTATTGGTACACGCGTAGCGGGATGCCGCGCTTTGCGCGGCTCCCGCTAGATCATGGTTTGAGCCAATACGTGAATGCCATAAGTAATGTATTTTCGATTACACCACAGTTTCCGGATTTGGACAATTTTCAGACTTAAAATGCTCAAAGTCAAAGAGACCTACTTTGCGTGTAGAGTTGCCCAGTGAAGTGTAGACAAAAGAGAATTTGAGAAAAAGGAAGCAGTATGACAGCAACTAATATCTTCTTTTGGGAATATTTCAGCTCTGCCAGGCCAGTTAAGATGACAGGAGTAAATTCTGCTGGGAGGCCTGTTCTACTTAGCGTTCATAGGATAGAAACAATTTATTGAGCTGAATATAAATATAACGCAATGTTCCGACACATTTTCGTACGCCCCCCTTTTCAACGGTAAAAGCAAGACTCCGTGCACAGAAGTCCATTCCAGTGTAATTTTACTGACAAGATTAGAATTTTTTTTGTCCGCATCATAAAAATCAAACAGAAGTTTTATTTCTATTGGCAAGAATAAAGAAAATACATATAGATAAAACAAAACTTTATTCACCAAAACTATACACAAAAAGACAAAAATACACCGAGTTAAAGCTACGCATAGACTGTAACAAATGTCATAGAGGTCTTATTACAATGTTTTTAAGCTGTAGCTGGCACATCTCTGAGTACTTTTTAGATGTACCCAAATTAGCCTCAGGATGTGGAAGGTCCATTAGCGTTTTGTGGCATTAGAAAAGTTGTGTACTAAAAATGGTGTTCCGAAGGATGTCTAGCTAGCCCGGCCCGTGTTTAAGTGAGAAATTTTGGGAAGAGCCTATGATGTCTGAAATCTCAACCATAATTTTGTCGGAAGCAATCGTTGACGTTTTTAAATTTACCTTGTTACCGTTGTGGACAATTGATTTTAATTATTATTGATTTTTTTAGGTACTTTAGTATGAAATAACTTGTTATGAAGATCTCTGCACATACCGATATGAGTATTGTGGCTTTGTTTCGCAACTTGAAATAAATAATGGAGGGTTTATCTGTGAATTGGTGTTTTGGTAGTGTAACTGTCACAGTGAACAACCGTGTCTGATATCTGGGCAGAGGTGTCAGTATGAGAAATATGAAGTGAATCCAGAGAACACCAATTCAGATGTCCATAGATTAAAATGGGAGGTTTACCGAAAATGCAGGATCCTGTTAAGCTAGAATACACTTTGAGCTCAAGGGAAAAATGGCGCCAAAGTTCTGGATGTAGAGATGAGTTGCGACGAGTCGTTCCAAAGTGGGAGAACAGGAGTCCGTCATGTTGTGTAGCCAGTTGGCAATAGTGAAGAGCAAAAGTTCAGCAGAAGAAATGCAACGCAAAGGAATACTTGCGGATCTTGCAAGATTGATGTCGATGATTAATGCCACATATGCCTTGGTGTCTGGCAAGTCACAATAGCTCAGTGGCTGGCATGCCTGGGGACAGCTCCTCTGGCGGGCTGCAGATACTCCCCTCCAGACCCTCTTTCAGAACATGCAGTTCAGTAACTAAGATAGAGAGCCAACACTCGTGAACATAAGGGGAAGACTTGGATTTTGAGGTCCTCCGGTCCAAAGAAAAATAGTGCAGAGCGCAGACAAAATTCGGCAGGCATGTAGTCAGCACGAGGGTAAAGTTCGGAATGTCGTTCACAAGGCCGCCTCACATTTGGCAAGAAGACCAACAAGACGGCAGACTGGTTTGAGGCTTCCTCCAAGGATCTGGCACCCGCCATTGAGATAGAGGAGAGCCCTAACATCATATAAAGCCTGCCCCAGTGAACACAACTTGCAGATCCTCCGAGCCGCCCGTAGCAAAGTCCAGCGGACTGCCAGCAGATGTGCAAACGACTACTGGCTCCAACGCCGCACCCAGATACAGATAGCAGCTGACACAGGCAATATCAAGGGAATGTATGATGGTATCAAGTAGGTCCTTGGTTCAATACAGAAGAAAACCGCCCCTTTAAAGTCTGTCACTGGTGAGATGCAGGATCGTGCGCAGCAAATGGAACACTGGATACAGCATTAGCCTGAGTTGTACTCCAGAGATAATGTTGTAATCAAAGAAGCACTGAATGCCATCGAGTGCCTGCCTGTGCTGGAGAAGCTTGACAGCGAACTGACCATTGAAGAAGGTAGCAAGGCCCTGGGCTCCCTTGCCTCTGGCAAAGCACCCAGGAAAGACAATATCCCTGCGAAAGTCCTACAAAGCTGCAAAGGGATTGTCATCAGTGAGCTTCATGAAATCCTCTGTCTCTGCTGGAGAGAGCGCAAAGTTCTGCAGGACATGAGAGATGCAAACATTGTCACACTACATAAGAACAAAGGTGACAGACGTGACTGTAACAACTACCGTTGAATCTCCCTCCTGAGTATCGTTGGAAAGCTGTTTGCCTGAGTTATACTGACGAGGCTTCAGGTCCTTGCAAAGAGACCCTATCCAAAATCTCATTGTGGATTCGGAGCCAGAAGGTCCACCATCGATATGATATTCTACCTCCTACAGTTACAAGAAAAATGTAAGGAATGTAAGGACCTCACGCAGGCTTTCGACCTGGTCAGCATGGACGGCCTTTTCAAGATTTTCCCGAAGAATGGATGTCCATCTAGGCTCCTCAGTGTCATTAGATCCTTTCATGAGGATATGAAGGGTACTGTAGTTTTCGACGGCTCAACATCGGACCCTTTCGACATTGAAAGTGGAGTAAAGCAGGGCTGCGTCCTTGCTCCGATTTTGTTTGGGATTTTCTTCGCTGTCCTGTTGAAACATGCATTTGGATCTGTAACAGAAGGTATATATCTCCGGACCAGGTCAGATGGTAAGCTCTTCAACCTTTCCAGACTCAGAGCAAAGTCTAAAGTCCAGCTGAGATGCCTTCGTGACTTCCTCTTTGCTGACGAAGCAGCTGTCACTGCCCACTCATCTGAAGATCTTTAGCTGCAAATGAATCAATTCAATGTGGCCTGCATGCTGGGACTTTGGGCTGACCATCAGCCTCAAGAAAACACAGGTCATGAGCACGTGGCTTCATCCCCCAGCATTACAATCTCCGAACACAAACTGAAGGTTGTCCATGACTTTGAGTACCTTGGCTCAACGATATCTGACGCTCTCTCTTTGGACTCCGAGCTAAAGAATGACACAGAGAGTATGGTCCAACAGGAAGTTGACAGATCATACCAAGATCCGGGTCTACAGAGCTTGTTTTGTGAGCCTGAGTACACTTCTGTATGGCAGCGAGTCCTGGACCCATCGTTCACGACAGCGGAGGAAGCTGAACGCTTTCTACGTGCACTGCCTCATTCGTATTTTCAACATCACCTGGCAAGATGAAATTCCAAACAACACAGCCCTGGAGAGATAGCTGGAATCCTCAGTATGTACTCACTGCTGAAACAGGGCGTTTCCGCTGGCTTTGTCATCATTTGAGGATGGGCGATGGTTCGGATCCCAAAGGATCTCCTCTATGGAGAACTAGCATAGGAAAAGCATCCCACAGGCAGACCACAGCTGCGCTACAAAGACATATGCAAGAGGGACTTGAAGGCTTTAGGGATCGCGACCTCAACACATGGGAAACTTTGGCCTCTGAGTGGTTAGCTCGGAAGCAGACTGTGCAGCAAGGCCTTTCCGGCTTTGAAGAGACATTTGCCTAATAAACAGAGGCGAAGAGACAAAGGCGGAAGACCCGAAGCCAGAGAGACGGACCAGCAACATACCACTCTGTCATCACTGTGGAAGGGACTGTCACTCCCGAATAGGCCTTTCCAGGCAAACCAGACGCTGCTCCACCATTCAGAGCGCAACGCCATAGTCTTCCGAGATTGAAGGATGCCCACTATATTGTAGAAAAAATGACAGACTTTCACACCTCATGGTGAACAGCATCTTGATTGCAAGGTGACACACTGGTTTAATTTTGTGGACGGCTAATGACGTCATAGCTTCTAAATGTTTTTATTTTAGTACATTTTATAAAAAATTCAAATGGTTTTATTTTATGATATAGAACGTGAAGTGTCAAGAGTGTGTGGGCTTGCTTTTGATAGAAAAGAAACAATCCTACAAGCCACCTTCCTCAAAGATATTCCTACTCCACCACTGTCCAGATAAAGACACGTCTCCCTCTTCAGGTACACGTACATTCCATTCCAACAGCTCAAAGAATAACGACAGCAGTATAGTTTGATATTGGACATTGGACATTCCCATAGGTTTGTACAGCGAATGTCTGATTTTTCTTGACACAGTGGACATTCCCATAGGATTGTATAGGGAATGTCTGATTTTTCTCGACATTAGAAATCCTATCCGCGTCCCAGTCACCAATCTCACTGGCCACGATATTCTCCTTCGAGATAGTACCATACTTGGCGATTCGAACTACAGCAGGTCAGGTCCGTCTTACCTTACCCCACTGATGTTCCCAAGGAAGCTGCCCAACCGACCTGTACAACTTTTATCAGTAAAGTCACAGCCCACACCACTGCGAATACCCCAGACTGGACCCCACCTGTGGATCTAAGCCACCTCATGGAGGAACAACGGCAGGTAGCAGAGCAGATGCTGAAGGAGGTTGGAGCCTTTGCCAGGGACGAGAATGACCTGGGCTGTGCC